AAAAAAAAAAAAAAAAAAAAAAATCACAAAATTCCGAAAAACACCTATGTTATGGAGACAAAGAAACTACTTTTCGACACCTCCATCTTTGCCGATTTTTAATTATTTTTTGGCATTGACAAATGCCCTGAAAATTTACAGATACGTAGTTTACATAATCAAGAACTCAATAAAAAGTTTTGAAAAAATAGTAAAATTGTTTAGGCCCTAAATAGAGAACTTACAAAACAAAACTCTGAAAAAAAAACTTATTTTTAGGCCCTGAAATATTTTTTGGCAGGGGCCGAACCTGGAGGTGTTCGGCCCCCGAACGGGACCCCGAACGCCCGAACGTTCGGTCTGGTAACCCTGTATATACATATATATATATATATATATATATATATATATATATATATCGTCACAAACAGAATTGCCCGGTAAAACCGTAGGCAGAGAGAGAGAAGAGAACAACTAATGAGGGGCTGTGACAAACTGTTTCGTCGGAGTTTCACCGACTCATCAGGAGGCTTAACCCTATATATATGTATATATACATATATATATACAGTTTTTCACAGCCCCTCGTTTGTTGTACTCTTCTCTCTCTCTGCCTACGGTTTACCGGGCAGTTCTATTTGTGACGATATATATACAGAGTTGCCAGGCCGAACGGAGGCCCCTAAGCTGACCCCCGAACTCGAAGGGGTTCGGACCCCGCAAAAAATTAGTTTGGTACCTAAAAATTATTTTTTTTTTCTGATTGTTTTGTTTTTAGTTCTCTATTATGTAAGCTACCTGTCTCTCAATTTTGAAGTCATTCTGTGGAGCCAGACAATAATGAAAAATCGGCAAAGATGGTGCTGTCAAAAATTATTTTCACACTTACTAATTTGTTTTTTCTTCTTTTCACTTTTTGTTTTTTCTTTATTTCGGGGCCTGAAAAAAATTATTATTTTTTCAAACTTTATTTGTAGGGGTTCTATTATGTAAGATACATATGTATAAAACTTCATGGCATTTGACAAATCCAAAAAAAAATAAAAAATCGCCAAAGATGGCGGTGTCAAAAACTTGCTCGCCCATGCAATAATTTCATTCTCGTTTTATTTTTTCTTATTTTCATTAATATT